CACCAAATGAGCTAGGTGATGGAGTCATCAGGCTGTTCGTCAGGGAACTGGTAAATAACTGCCAGGAGAAGGGAATGAAAAAAAAAAAAAAATAAGCACCAAAAAGGGAGAGAACTTCACGTTTATACTGTATGTGCCTGTGAACGTCGATTCGTAATGTTTGCACAGATCGCTGCAGGGAGGCGTCCAAAAATTTTCCAAAAACAGCACAAATACAGTATATGCATAGGAACGTGAAAGTTAATACAGTAAAAGGATTAATGGTTCTTTAACTAGGATGTTGACTCGCTTCGTGAAAAGGCTTTAACAATTATCTTATTTCACATCCCTTTGTTGCGCAATACTCAATCTAGATAAAAATGAAGTTGAGTTTTCGAATGTTCGGGTTTGTTGGGTGCATGGTAGGTGTAAATATTTTTCTGCACATACAGACTCAGTCTTTCGTGTACGTCAATCTAAGACAGCCCAGCTCCTGTACATCGTTCAAATTGTCAAGTCGTTCATGAGACGCGCGACATATGCTTTTTTTAGTCTATGGCAATGAGAACCTCGTGTTTACAATTTGTAACCACCTGACCTGACCATCAATGTACTGTATTTTAAACAGAACATCACTTGAATTTTATAACTTTATTTCCGCTTTTCGTTCGCTTATACGCCAAATTAAGCAATCATTTATTACCTACACCTATAGTATACAGTTCTACACAGTGAATAAAGCATTAATAGGAAACAGTAACATATGAAATTTACTGTCATTGTTTCTACTTTAGCTTAGTCTGTTTTGCTGACAAATAAAGGGTGAACACGATAGGGTTTTTCCGAGAACAGTTAAATAAGTAGCTCGATTTGAAATATGTGTAAACTTTAACAAACTTGACTACTTCAATGATTACTGCATTAAATATGCATCTCAAATTTAAGCCTCGTTACCAGTTACCACACTTTATTTAATGTCAGCCACTGCTCAGTTAAAAGTAAAAAAAAAAAAAAAAAAAATTTCCTTTTTTTTTTTTTTTTTTTTGAATTTTTAAAAAATTTTTTCTTCGACGTCTGAGAAACATTATGGAGACCGCGTTCGTGAGGCGACCCGGTTTTGGAAATAAGGGAAGGCAAATCCGCGTTAATACAAACCATTTTGAAATAACATTACTACCCGAGGGCAACATATTTCATTATGATGTCACTATTACACCCGACGTGCCGCCTACTCTAAACAGAATAATATACAAAGAGCTCGAGCGACGATATGGGGAGGACGCCCTTGGTGGAGCAAGACCCGTTTTTGACGGTTTGTTTATGTTTTTACCGCATAAAACAAAAAAAAAAAACAAATTAAAATTTTTAACCACGTAATTTTGGTTTCGGTAAAAAGGACGAAAGAACATTTTTTCTCACCGACCCTTTCCCTTTGGGGATTCATGTACTTTTAATGTGATTAAATTTTTTATTTATATAAAATAGCTTGCATGAAATATTAAGTTAATAATTAGCCTCCATTAAATTTAGATAAACTTGGATGAGAGGCCACGCAATTCTTTCCGAATTCACATAAGAAAAGTTAATGAAATTAATTTAAGGGACTTGCATCGCTTCTTAAATGACAAAGGAAGTCTAACCAATAATTGTTCTACAGGTAGTTGTGAAGTCTTTAACCAATTTTGTTTTACCAATTGAATTCATACGCTAATATAATATCATAATAGCAATAATGGCATTAGATGTGTTGATTCGTCATCAACCATCGATGTTGTATAGGACAATTGGTCGCTCGTTCTACACAAGTGAGGGTTCCCGTTCACTTGGTGGGGGCGCCGAAGCGTGGCAAGGATATTACTTGTCAGCACGTCCTACTCTAGGTTTGTCATGTAAACCTATTGATTTCAACGATGTAAAGATATTTACAGTAATTTACAATTGTAAAATATAGGACGCATGATTATAAACATTGACGTATGTGCCACGGCATTTTACGAATCCGGTCCTCTAATTCAGATGGTAGCCAAAATATTAGAACGTCCTCTCGATCATCTTCGTAGGGGTTTAGTTAGGGGGGATATACAGAAGTTAGAAAAACGACTAAAGGGCTTGCAGATCCGCGTCACTCATCGAGGTGAACAGGCGTCAAGACGCAAATACAAAATTACTGCGTTAACTCCCGGTCCAACTTCAAGTATAAATTTTGACCAGGATGGTAGACAGATTAGTATTGCTGCCTATTTTTATCAGACTTATCGTCGGAGGCTCGACTTTCAAAATTTACCATGCGTCATCGTAAAACAAGATATTTTTCTTCCTATAGAAATTTGCGAAGTCGTAGAGGTAGGCGAACTTCTATTTATCATATGCTACTGCTAACATTTAAATAATAATAAAATTTTTTATTAAGGGTCGAAGGTACCCCAGGAAACTTGACGGTGAACAGACGCGGAATATGATCGCGTATGCGTGCGAAAGGCCAAACTCTCGCGCGAATAAAATTCTAAGAGGTCTTAATGCTCTCAACTTTCGAGGAAATGAGCATTTGCAAAAATTCGGAATTCGGATTTCTAATGAAATGACCACGGTAGCTATACTTATTTGTTTTCATGAATTGTGGTCTCTTAAGATTTAAATGACCACGTCCAATTATTATATAGGTTAATGCTAGGATATTACCGGTCCCGACAATCGTGTATCACGCATCGTCTAAGGAGCCCAAAGTAAGACCAAATGATGGTGTGTGGAGTTTAAGAGATAAAAAAGTATTCACTGGTGCCACTCTGGGCTCTTGGTCGGTACTCGTATTCGGCTCACCAAATGAGCTAGGTGATGGAGTCATCAGGCTGTTCGTCAGGGAACTGGTAAATAACTGCCAGGAGAAGGGAATGGTAAGCTCAATTGTATATTTTTTTTTGAATCTATCTTGAATGTATCTGAAAGTTTATTTAATTCATCAGAATATCCCAAACAGAAATCCCCCCATAAGTTATGTTAATATGCATAGCACAACAGAAGAAAACCTGATGAAAGCCTGGCTCGAAGCCGGTAACACGGCAAAACAGAAACCTCAGCTAATATTATGTGTTCTTTTGAACATCAAGACAGATCTTTACCCTGAAATAAAACGCGTCAGTGACACCATTATTGGTGTCCAAACGCAATGCGTTCAGGCAAAACACACGAATAGGCCAAACAAACAGTACCTAGCTAATCTTTGTCTTAAAATAAATGTCAAACTGGGCGGCATGAATTCACATTTGACTGAATTACCTTTTGTCGACGATCAGCCAACGATTATAATGGGTGCCGATGTAACTCATCCGCCGCCTGGTATTATTAATTATAAACTCCATGTTAAATAGAAATGCCTTTTCTTATAAATATGATGGCTTTTAAAATTTTATTCAGGGGACCAAGTCCGCCCTTCAATCGCAGCTCTCTGTGCATCAATGGATTCTAGGGCATCGCGGTACGCCGCATCAATCAGAATACAAGCGAGTCGAACCGAATGGATCGCCGATCTTGATCGTATGATTGTGGAATTATTAAGAACCTTTTACCAAACTTGCGGGAAAAAACCGCGGCGAATAATTTTCTATCGTGACGGTATCTCAGAAGGACAATTCTCAAAAATTCTTCGAGATGAAAAGAAACTCATAAAAAGTAATCATTTGCGTGATAACTTTTATTGGTTAAGTTGTTTGCTTATTGATATTTATCCGAACAAATGTTAGCCGCCTGTCAAAGGCTTTACGAGGAAGATGAAATGCCAACCCTCACGTTTGTTGTGGTGCAAAAACGTCACCACACTCGTTTTTTTCCTATCGAGAGACTGAATTCTGATAAGTCTGGGAATTGTTTTTCTGGAACGGTTGTAGAGTCAGGAATAACTCACCCATATGAGTTTGATTTCTGTGAGTCACGATTTACAGTATCTTCTCGCTCCGTAATTATAGTTGAACTAAATAAAATCCGTCATAGATCTACAGAGCCAAGCAGGTCTTCAGGGAACTTCCCGGCCGGCGCATTATTATGTGCTATATGATGAAAATAACTTTACCCCTGATTTGTAAGCTATCATTCTTATATCAGAGAGTCCATTTCTAATACCAATTTTACTCATCTAATACTAATTTTTTTCTTTCAGACTTCAGACACTAAGTTACAATCTATGCTATTTGTATGCCCGCTGCACACGATCAGTGTCCTTAGTAAGTCCCAAAATTGTCTTCCACATCTACAGTGATTATTATTAATTGATTATTTCGAGGAAATCCAGGTTCCCCCTATATATTACGCACATTTAGTGTGCAGCCGTGCACGATTTCACGCGAAAGGTGAACATTGGAGTGATACCGATTCATCAGAAGGAGTTGGCGAAAGCGCTTATGCTCCCGTCAAACCAGAACTCCAAAATGTAATTATAATTTTTTGAATTATATCGGTATTAAAGTTCCGAGTTCCTAATTTGTTGTCATTTTTACTTTAGGCAATGTATTACATGTAATAAATTACGTTCATAATATCTAGCTATATTTTTTATGACTAAGTAAAACATTGCATAAAACAATTTGCATGAAATAGTCAATCTTATACGAGAGTCGATAAAAATACATATCTTCTCTTTTATCGACTGGTTATGCGGATAAACGGACATTCGCATGTGCTGTATTTTGTATCACCCCAAATTAGAATTTCCAATTGAAGTCGGCTGAAACTAGTTTCAAAATATAATATGACTTTCACATGAATAAACTTTCTGAAATAATCAAAGTTTTAGACTAATAAGGTAAATTTTAGGTACCGTGTAGCGAACATAAGGTCTGCTCATGATAAAATGATAAGCATCATTATTGATAGATATTTTAAATAAATATTGCTTTGGAATATTATCAAACCTGCCTTATATCGATATTGTTTTGACTTGCAAGATAAATAAACGGAATTAAATGATAAATTCGAATAATTTAATTTTCATGTTCATTATTAAAATGTAAGAATATAAAATAAAATCATTATAACATGTTGGATATTTTTATTACGTATTTATTTATTAAAATGAATGAATGAATTGGGATTTTATTTAAGGATTAATAATACCAAATATTATAATGTATATCCTTGAAAAATCAATGAATTAAAATTTTTATTTAATAATTAAATTGTTTATAAATAATACAAATTACTAAATTAATCAATTTTATAAGATATATCAAATTTTTTTTCTATAAATACCTATTAAGTCAAAATGATAGTATATATTTATTTGATAATTTATTGTTTAGTCTTTTTTTTTTTTTTTTTTTTTTTAACCTGCAGTCAAGCAAAAACAGAAATGAAGGCCTTAATGAAAACTATTCTTGACAAATGAGGGTAGATAAAGTTTTTTCAAGTAATGTGAATCAAAAAATATTATAAAAGATAATATCTAAATTAATAAAATCTATGGTTCCACATTTTAATCCCTTATGGAAACAAAAATGCTTTTATATTACTATTAAAGAGAAAGATATCAGAAAATAGACACTGGAAAACTGGAAGCAGACAATTGTCACTTATATACAAATAGTCAATTAAATGAAGTAAGTAAAATTAATAATATTTTACATTTATACTATTAATTTTTAATAAATAATTAAGAAAGAGGTATGAAGAATTAAAAGGGCACAGTTGTTTATTGAACAAAAGTTTAAAAAAGTTGTCAAATATCAAAATAAATTAATTAATATAATTAAAGAAACAAGGATCTATTCATCTGAAAAAAGTGAGATTGATCTGAAAAACATTATTAAAATATATATATATATGTGTGTGTGTTCATAATTGATATTTTGAAGAGGTATTTTTCAATAAAATATTTTATACCAAATAATTACAATATTAATTATAATTACTTATAGTTAAAAGATTTATTAAAATATTTGAATGAACATTTGAAATCAATTCAAGTATTTCAACTGACTTATAAACAATATCATAATGATATATATTTCTATGACATAATATTATCAAAAGGTTTATCAAATTGGATATACAGTTTGAAAAAGATTTCAAAATGTAAACAAGAAAAAGAAATAAGAAAGAATAAAGAATCGATAGTTAAATTCAAAAGACAAAAAATTATAGAATATGAGAAATCATTAATATATTTAAAAGGTGAGAAACAAATTGAGAAAAGTGCACAAATGAATAAAATTCCAGGGCAGTTAGGTTAGAAGAAAAAAGTGAAAAATATTGGAAAACATTTGAAAAGGTAAAATCAATTGGAGCTAATTTTAAAAAAATCAAATTAAAATCTTTAAAGAAAAAAGAAAAGTAAGGGGAAGGGAAGTAAAAGAAATAAAAAAAAAATAACAAATAATTTAGTCAATTGATTTTGAAATTTATTAAACTTCATAAATATTTATCTAATTTCAATATTAGATTTGTAATTTTTACTAAATTTTTTATTACAATAATTTTTTTGTCAAATTTTTTGTCAAATTTTTTGCCACAGTATTAATTTTTTTACTTTTTGTTATAGCATGCAAAAATTTTCTTTATTATAATATTGTCAGATCTTGTACTAGATTTTTTTATCACAGTATATCAAAAATTTTTTATTAATTTTTTATTGATATTTTTAATGCTGAGTAACAACAATAGTAAATTATTTGTCAATCTTTTTATTATTACATTTAGTCAAATTCAACAATAATTTAATTGCCAAATAACATAATTTTAATTAGTATAAAAAGTATCCTTAATATTTCACTTAATTTTTCTTGTGAAATTGATTCAAGTAGTTCATTATATCAAGCTGTTTAAATATATTTTCTTGATTTATACTTCTCTTTTCAATTTTTTGATAGACTGTCATAGCTAACCTTTCTTTTTTTTAAAGATCTTATGGTGATGCTATCTTATTTTCTTTTCAATTTCATTTTTTTGTGTTGTGATATATTCATTATCATTTTACTTAATCTTAACCTATCTAATATTATTTTGTTTTTAATTCAGTTAATTAGAGAACTAATTATTTATCTCTTAATTGTTTTTCAAATCATCACATCTCTATTTAAAGTAGTTTTAATATTATCTCTTGTTCTTTTTTTTTGCTTTTAATCTTTAACATATAAAGTTAAGGCCTTCTATAGTATTTTGAATATTTTTTTCAAAGATTTCTATGATATATTAGAAATACTATATTGAATAAAATAGTTTTCAATTTGATAATTTGAATTATAGATATTATTATATTTTTTATAATTAAGTTAAGGACCTATACTTTATTTATTTCTTTCAATATCTTTGCTTTATTGTAAAGCTATTTAAGTTATAGAGCTTTTCTATAGCTGATAAATTCAATACTATGTTTATAATGTTTTTTATCGAATTGGATTGTTTTTCTTGTTACCAGTTTATTAAAGACTGCTTTTATAATAGTTTTTCAAAGATTTTCTATATCTTGTTTACCTGATTCTCTTTTTTATATTAATTAAATTCTTGAAACAATAGTTCTAGTAATATTTGAATTTATGATCTATACTTTTATAAAAGGCTTGTCATTATAATAAAAATGTTTTTTTATATCAATTTTTTTTTTTTTTTTTTTTTAGTACCCGTAGCCAAGCTAGATCGTCTGTTTATTAATCAAATGAAGACAAAAGTACATTTTCATTCGAGCAGCATAATACATACTACAGCTAAACTATTATTCT